GTAGGTTGCACCTTCATCTTCTTGTTGTGCAGCCTGCAACTCAAAGTTCAGCATCTGGAGTTGTTCAGTCATCGACATCATCTCTTGATGAGTGGTGCTTTCCAGGAAATTAAATTGTTGATAGGCATATGCTGTCGTCTCAGTCAATCTTGCCTGAAGTACGGATTCTTCTTCAGTAGCCTTTTCCAGTGATGCTTTGTATTCAGCTAATTCGCTCTGATAGGCAGTGAAGATGTCACTACCACTCGACGGGGCGTTCACTTGCTGATAAGATCCTGTCCCTGATGGAGTAGCGTCCTGAATCGGTGAAGGCGGATTCGACGACGTAGTCTTTGCCTTAGTCCTTGGAGTCATCGGAGGCGACAATTGTCGTGCAGATGATCTTCTCTTTCCAGGTGTACTGTCCCTATCTTCAATTGCTTGCATTGTCGAAATTTGTCTCCCTCTAGGAGCAACCAGAGGTCGCCTGGGTAGGCTCGTTCTCAGTTCTGAGGCATCGCTTCCACCAGTGTCGATACTCTGTGAAGAATTTGACTGCGTGCCGGCAGCTGGTGCAACGGCATGTCCAGAGAAAGAAAATGCGTTATCACTGCTATCCTGTTCAGTCATCTGTAAGGCCCGCGGCTACCCGCTCGTAGGCTCCGTAGGAGTCCTACGGCTGATAACCTGTGAATCGGAGGTTATCTCCCCGATTATGTGTTCTTGGATGATCTAGAAGTGAACGTTCTCACCAACGACGACACGGGAATTGCAGTTTCGGCATGGCAGTGTTTTCTCCTGGAACTTGCAGTAATCTTGAGCCAAAAGGAGCATTAGATGCAACCTTCTGGCCCCGGAACATTAAGGGATATATACAGGGGAACATGTGAGGTACTGTAGTTTAGTCCCCATTCGCATTGCTATTGCTGGTTGACAGAAGCTCAATCTTTCCGTGGTCGCTGACATGGCTTCAGCCGCTGAGCCATCCCCTGGGCAGGCTGGTCATACTGTGGAAGAGATGGAGCTCCAGGCAATGCTGATGCTTGACGCAGAGATTTCAAAGTGAGCAGTGGCTGCTGCCCTGTTGGTTGATTAGTTCGAGGATTATACTAGCCAATGGTCATTGGGGATGATATTAATATATATTAATCCAAGAACGGACAGTACCACTGGAATGACAGAGGGATTTTGAACACTGCTCAAGTCAGCACAAGGGCCTAGTAGGGATCTGAGTCAAGGTGCCCGTTTGGCTTGGTTGCCAGGCCATTTTTCACTGGGGTATGAAAGGATGGTGATGCGACAAAAAGAGCTACGTGATTGTGATATATTGTGGTATGGTGTTGTCGAGGGTCGCACTTAAGGTATTAGTTACTGTACTCCCCGCATTGGGTGGGATAGTATGCGTGACCTCACCAAGGCCATACAAGGCCATATCCCAATGACAACTTTCCGCAGTATGCCGACACAGAACTCAAATACACCTTTCATCAACTCTAATTCACCTATACGCACATAGACACGCAGATATACGCAATGAACCTCTTGCAGCATGTCAGCGAAGTGGCAAGATCCCCGTGAGTCCATGGCTCCGAGGAATCTCTTTGGACTCACAGAGAGCCCTCTGAGTGCCTTCATCACAGAGGAGAACTTCCATCACAAGGCGCAGAATTCCGGTTCAGATGAATTAGCGGCGCAAATCTGAGAGCAATGGCTTCACTCATCAATTATCACGACTCACAACCTCTCAGCTTTCCAACGTATTTACTCGCGAACAGTCTGGCCTAGTCTTGCCAGACATTGGCGTACGAAGTTTGAAGCTGACCATCTCTGATAAATCTGAAGAATTTGCTGAGAAAGTGAGAAAGCATCAATCTGACACAAGTCCTGATGCATCGACGTAAAATCAGTCTGTGTAAAGACTCGAACCACTGGACATATGTAGAAAAGCTGGTAGGTCACGAAAGGTAGCTCCAGTGGGGCTACCTTGAGTTTTACTTGTAAAGGGGAGGGTGGCCAGCCCCGCTGCCTGACTATTCAGGAGATTGCTGTATAATTTACAGGGGTTTTGTGACTTTTGCATGGACAAATTACTTCTTGCAACATAATGAAAAATGCGCAAATACCAGTGTTTTTGCTAGGTGCTGTCCAAACAACACTGTAAATACAGTGGTTTTTGCTACCAAGGATTGGATTTTTTTGCTTCATGTTTTTTTTTTCGATTTTGCTGCGGTGACGCATTTTGCACCGATACGCTTCTACAAACAGACAACGTTACGCACAGAAGCCTTTACACAGAGCAGCTTTTATGCGCAGATACTCTTGCACAGAGAGGTTGTGCACAGAGAAGCTTTCACACACAGATGCCTTTACACACAGAGGCTTTTACACAAAGAAGTTTTTACACAGAGATCTTTACATACCGATGCTCTGCACAAAGATGCTTTTGCACGCATAAAGGCACACAGGCGCTTTTACACGCAGAACCTTTTACACAGAGAAGCCTTTGTACAGAACAGCTTTTATATACACTAAGAAACTTTTACACAGTAGAACTTTGACCCAGAGAAACTTGTACACACAGACTGCACAAAGAAGCTTTTACACACCGAAACTTTTACATGCAGAAACTTTACCCAGAGAAGCTTTCACACACAGAATTTTTTCCACACAGATGCCTTTACGCACAGAAGTTTTTACGCACAGCCGCACAGCAGTTTTTACATACAGACGCTTTTACACACAGATGCTTTTACACAGAAAGACTTTTACACACAGAAACTTGTGCACACAGCACGCTTTTACACACAGCCAGCTTTTACACAGAGAGGCTTTGCTTCCCCTTCTTGACTACCTACCTTTCGTGTTCCCCCTTTTTCTGGCTTGTATCAGGTTACATGGGTCTATATGAAAATGGGGTACCCGATAATCCAATGGTCTATCATCACTTTCCCCCTTTGAAACTCATATGTCATATTTATTCATATATTATATATATACACATACCTGGTGACGGTGATATCCCACTGTCTCCCAACGCTTGTTGGCTTGACATGCCCATTTCCAGTCGTAAATCCTCCATAAATCTCCATTTCATATGGCTGATTCAGAAAAAGACTATCGCATGAATTATATCCCACACATGTACATCATATATTTGTAATGCATCACACATATGTATATGTATGTATATGTATGTATGTATGTAATGTAAATGTAATGTAATGTAATGTTATGTTATGTAATGTAATATTTCTGTTATGTTATGGTATGAATGTATGTACGTATGTACGTATGTACGTATGTACGTAATGTAATGTAATGTAATGTAATGTAACGGAATGGAATGGAATGGAATGGAATGTAATGTAATGTAATGTATGTATGTACATTGGTAACTGCACACATATTATACATACATATACATGCAGATACCCCATTTTTTGCACCAGGGTGTGGCTGTGGAGCTCAGTGACATGACGGACCGCATCCGAGCAGAGCTGCGCGTGCGGAAATTTGCCGCCGTGTTAAGGCGGGACCTGAAATTATGGACATATCCGGTTGATTCTGCATGGCTGAGAGTCTACATTGCACATATATTATATATATATATGTATGTATGTATGTATGTATATATATATTTTAAATGTATATATGTATACATATATATACACATACATACGTCTCTCTCTCTATATATATATATATACACGTATATATATATATATACACAAACATATACATGTATACATATATATATATAGTATATAGTATACACTGTATAATATATATATAATTTGGGCATGATATTCGATAATTTGTCAACGACAATTTCTATACTTCAGGGAGGTTTACGACTCAGCTCAGGAGGTATGTTGCTCCCCACACCTGGACTGCACGTTGCAGGCCCGACATGGGACACTTCGATGCAGCTTTGGGACATGAAAGCCCACGACTAGACCTGGTCACGACAAAGCCGCTTGGAAGCCCAGTCCACTTGGTTAGGTCCAGCCCATTTGAAAAGCTTCTGCTGCTATATTTCTTGAATTCTTAGATGCACACTGACCAATTGCGTGTAGTGAAACAGTGAAACACAGTGAAGCACATGCATTGAGTTGCTTTCTCTGCTCGGTGCGAAAAATGGTGCAGGACTCCCCCTGTGAGCGAAGAAGGCAGGGCAGGTGATGGTTGATTTTGAGAGATGTTCGACGGGGTATGATGTGACCGCCCTAGCACAGGTCACCATAAAATGCTTCTTTCGAACTTCTCCCTGCTTGATGACCAAAGCAGTGCTGATCAGATCTACACTCTCAGCTGGCCAGGAGAACCTAGACAGCTGCTGACTGATAATGGTGCCTCGAAGTAGAAGGCTTCAGGTAGTTCGTGTTGTACATACCATAAGATCCAAAGGTGCCCCACGGGTGGCGTGCGGGAAGGTAAGCTGCAACTGCAGCATGCTTCTCGCAGTGAATGTTCCACCAGCGACAAGAGTTGGACCCAAAGTCAGGATTCACTTCGTAGTTTCAATGGCAGGAGGAAGTTGTGATCATGTAGATTTATGACGATATGCAGAGCAGGCGAACGTTCATATTTGGTTGGTGGTTGGTTTCATATGGTTCATATATACATATATATATATGCACACTAGACATTTCTTGACTTTCTCTGATTTCCCCTTCGGACAAGTCATCCCATTCCGATGACAACCACTCCTGCTTTGCATGGGATTGGGAGTTCAACATACTTCGCATGGGACTCCCATGACGTGCCCGGATCTTGATGCCGATGTTTTCAAGTACAGCGCATCTCTGGGCCCATGCACGAACAAAAATGGGTTCACATGGAGGGATTTTCGGGCAGAAATACATGATGAAATATGGGTACTTCCCAAAGCTGGCCCATTTCAGCATAAGCACGTCATAGTTGGCAGCGCCATTTATGTTTGTCAACTTTCAACTTTCAACTTTTGTTTGGGTAAAATACAAAGTTGATGCTGCAGAAATCTGCAAACATCTGGGTTTTTCCAGGACGTTGGCAGCAGGCGCTGGAAACGGTGCGGCAATATCTGCAGCAAGGGCGGCAGGCAGATGTGCAGATGTATGGCGCACTCCTGGGGGTAGCTTGGCGTAGGACTGACTGGTTGGTCCTGTTAGTAACTTTTTAATGATCTTGATGGTTGTGGAAATGTTGTTGTGATTTGTTGTGGTTGTGGACATGTTGTTGTGATTTGTTGTGGTTGTGGAAATGTAAACGTTGTCGTTGTCGTCGTCGTCGTCGTCGTCGTCGTCGTTGTTGTTGTTGTGATTGTTGTCGTTGTTGTTGTTTCTGCTTCAATGTTGGAATTGGTTTGGTAGATTGAAATTGCAAAGAATTTGATGGGGATAGAATCAGCCATCAAAGGGAACTTGACCAACAGCCGACTGGTGATATACAACCAACAATATTGGAAGATGGCTAATGGATAGTTGTCATTTTCCCTCCTACCTGGAATGATGACCCCCGTTGATTTGGGATGCGTGGATCAACCACAACAGCTTAGACATGCCCAAATGTTGCTTCCAGTGGTTTTGAAAGTTTCCGCTGCTCCCACATTTTTCGCACCTTGCCAATGAAGAATTAGCCGTGCTCTTCTTTCCCAAGCTGACTTTGTGACACTTATGAATCAATGGAAGACAACAGCTTCGACAAGATGCGCATCAGTTTTCACTTTGGATGCGCACGTACGTATCAATATATACAGTATACACACATATATATATGTATATTATATGTATGTTTGTTTATATGTATATGTGTATATATATATGGATATGTGGAAAGACATCGAGCGAACATGTCGATTTGCCATGACACCAGTGCATAGCATCAAGAAATTTGCTTTGTTATCAGCTCTTCTTCCAAGGCAGTCGCCCACTCGGGTCATTGGAAGGAGGCGTGTTCTACCCCTGAAGATCCAAGCATTTCACTCCAGATGCTTCTCAACCCTTTGGACTCTCTCAGGCACTTATGCTTCTGGAAGAGTCACAAACCTAGACCTGCTCAAGACGTTCGGCTTTCGTTCCACTATTACAGACAGGATTTGAGAGCATCAATCCAGCCATTTTTGACCATTCTTGCAGGTTGCAAGAGGAAAAGTTGCAGCCCAACGAAGTGGTTTCACCAGCGTGGATTGAACAGTTGCAAACGGAGGGTTCCTACATCCAGATAGCAACTGCCAGGTCTATGGTGCGGTGCTGCGAAGCTGCAGAATGCAGGGGTGTCTTGGCTTGCGTGGTATGGTGTGCTTAATTGGGGTGCCAAAGGGACTGGCTATGTAGAGGTGTAGCCTTATACATAACTTGTAGCCCTTTTCAAACAGATATTCAAAATAGGAAGGGCCATCTCTGAGGCAGTGGCTTGAAGCTTGCCAGATCTTGGCGAATGCGAAGTTGGCAGAAGTGACCTGGGCATGATCTTGGCCCTTGGCCAGAGTGGTGAAAGCTAAGATTTGGGGGTCTGACCAGGATAGGATTTCAGCTTCATACTGAGGGTAGATCATCGCGCGGCAGGTCTATGATGGTTTATGTAGGGTTTTGGGCTTTGGCACACCACCGAAGGCCTACGCCTTCTCCAGGTTCCACTGACCGTCCGACTGTCAAGTGAGCTGATGAACGTGTGTGCGCGGAGATCTGAGGGGATGTTGAGCTTCTGCGTTCGCAATGACCAAAGTGCCATGTGGCACACTTCTGAGGCAAGCTTCAGAATGGCAAGTTGCTTGCTCGGCGCTGGCAGAGTCTGGTTGCCAAGGTACATCCAGATTTTGATGTGGATCAGTGGGAAATCATACAGTTGCGCCAAGGATGAACGATTGCCACTTTAATGTGCTTACCTTTAGGAGTGCCAGAACTGCACAAGCCAGACTATATGAAACGCATTCAGGTTGCAAAGCCTGCGGCTTGAAGCTGATGTTGGCCCCTTAAATGAACAGCTCTGTGCCAGCTATCCGTTGCAGTTCTGGTGTCTCTTGTATTAGATTCCCATATTTGGTTGGCCCAGCTTTTAAGTTGGTACAGGTAGATAGATCCTGTGGAGAGCTTGATCTATGGGTAATCCTCCTATCTTATCTCTGTACAACTTCATCAAAGGTTGTGGCAAAGAATTCCGCGATTGCAGCGTGTGCTCGGGGCTTTGCTTGGCCAGCAGCGTTGCAGCTGCCGGGGCCTTAGCTTCTGGCGGACAACTCTGAAAGGGAGCTGCGATGTTTTCGCTGGCAACCACACTTTGTCAAGGCTTGAAGACCTCGCAGTGCCAGTACTGCCGGCGGAACTTCTGCGGATTTCGGCAAGTCCATTTTTTTTTGCTTTGCATCATCGCCAGGGTGAAGTGAGCTACACCTCCGTGATCAATGCCTGTGGCAATGGCCAGGGTCTCGTTGGCAACCACTGCTGACAAAGGGTGCAAGGGTCCAGTTGCAGGATAAGACGGGGGGTCATGGTGGTAGTTGCGACAATGCTGGGTACGGAACGCCTGTAATCATCATCGCGGCAGGTGGGAAGTTGGCTTGACAAGTTGGGACAAAAGGAATTGAACACGAATGAGGTCATGAATGGAGCTTGGCCGTGCACCTCTTGAGCTTGATGAAAAGTTCCTGGCCATGGACTTATCAAACAGACGTGACTTCCTGATGTCACTTTCGGGTCAATAATTTCACTTGTCCACTTGGAAAGCTGAAAACCACGGTTTGGTTTGCTTCAGGATCAGCCCATCACGTATCAGCTGCAATGCTACAATCAGCGCCTGTGAGAAAGGCGATGTTTCCACTCGGGGTGCAGTTGGTATGCCATGGTGATATCACCCCCACAAGTTGGGGTATAACGGTTTAACCCCTATAATGATGGCTACATACCCACCTAAAAAGTGGAACTAGCTTGGGTTGGCCTGATCATTTTTTGAGCACCAGATGTGGAGCCATATCCAACTTAAGGCCCTGTGGAAAGAATGGTTTGAAGCTGCCGGTGTTTTTCAGTCAGTCACAGCAGCACAAGCTTATGAAAGTGTTGAAATCAAACATCTTCAATGTATCAAGCTTTTTGTGATACTTTGGAGACCTTTGATAACTTCGGCCATAGAATCATGCGGAAGTCCAGGTCCATTGAGCAAACCATCGTCCTACCCACATCCGTAAACACAAAACGGAATCAACCTGTCTTCCACAAGACCAAAAACATCCAGACACAAGAATTCATTCACAGAACTGCTGATTCGCACAGATCGCCATCTCTCCCAGTCTGACCTGTAGGGTCAATTCCTCATCCCTGGCCCTCTCCAGTGCTATCTTGATACATGGAAAACAAGTCACTTCCAGTCGAAGTCATTGAAACCTTCTGGTAAGATCCTTGCCCAGAAGGAGTTGCATCCTGAATGGGCGATGGAGGTGATGGTGAAATCGGTTTCGCCTTCTAGGCGTCGAAAGCGGTGACCGGTCTCTCACTAGTGGTCTTCTTGCGCTTGATGTAGGTTCGGCATCCATGATTGCCGACATACAGATAATGCGCCCCTAGGTCCCTCACCCTTGTGGTTCTCAATTCTGAGCTGTCACTTCCCCCAGTACCCAAACTCTGTGAAGAATTTGGCTGCATGCCGATAGTACTGCGAGTGTACTGTAGGCGAGATGCCATATTATATGCAGTACTCGTAGAGCATCCGAAGTTTGCCAACATCAGGTCACCTCAGACTCTGTGCAGCATGTGCCTGATGCCTTGGCTCAAGACCTACTGCTTGTCCCATAAAATAAAGAAGCTGTCCGTGAGCTGTCAGCCATCCGAATCCAGAAACTCTTTCGTTGTGCCTAAGTGCATTGATCAACTGACATGTAGTCGACAATCTTAGGAAAGAGGTCGGTTTGCAGGCATGCATCTCCTACCGAGCGTCCCTACTCACAACAAGATCCCTACTCACAACGAGATGACTTCGATGGCTCAGCACCTACAGATCCTGAACTCTGAACTCATGGCTGCGAAACAGGAAGATGAAGGAGCTACGCACAGGATCGAGGAGCTGGAAAGATATTGGACCATGCCTGATGACATGGCATTGCATTTGGAAGCTCAGTACCGTCAACTTCGATCTGAATTCAATGAGCAGATGGATCGTGCATGTACGATCATGCTTCACGCTGGATTTGGGATAAAAGATCAGATGCACCAACTTAGGATTGAGCTGGATAATGTGGAGAGGACTGCCAAGCAGGAAGCAACGGCCGTTGGCTATGCGAACGACAGGTCATGCGCTCTACACTTAGACATGCTTAAGGCGGACGATCAGCATCAATCATTCAGGAACACTCTGTCCTTGAGTATCACCAGGCTCGAAACTGAGGTGGAATCTGCTGACATCAAGCCAGATGAGATCATGAGGGAATGTCGTGGAAGTCTCAGAACTGAATACGACTGCTATGCCGAATGTGAACGCCATCTGGCTATGGAAGAATCGCAACTCAGATTGAAAATTGCACGCAATGAGAGTCTGCAATCCCAAGTGGTTGCCGCCGAAGGCCGGAATGCTGAGGGGAAGTGCAAGTGCAGATCGTGGTGGCGTGTGAGACATGAAGCTGATGGCGTTACGATCTGAACTCCTCATGAAACAGAGTCTTGCTGAGAGGATATATAAACTAATTTACAACAAATGACTGAGCCAAGAAATCAATGCCATGATATGTCCTCTCAATTAGCTAGGCGCGCCCCCCATGGCTTCAAAAAAGATCCAAACCAGGAGAAGTACCTCAAGTTGAAGGATGAATTCGATGACTATCTTCGTATAGGTGGAGACCGATGCCACATTCAGGGAAGTGAAGAGTGAATTGGTAGACAGCCGGCTACTGTTGGAGACTTCTCAAGAGAACTTCACAGAGGTAGGTCAGAAATATGAGGATGCATGGGTGAGGATTGATCAGCTCAACGTGAGCCCAATTTCTCAAGCAGGTCGTATGATCATTTTCACATTGAAGTCTTCGAGAGGGACACGAAGACAGGGAAGCTCGAGGCACAGGTGGAGAAAGAGAGGAAAAGTTTTGAGAACCTTCAAAGTGACACAGACAGAGCGTTCAAAGTACTGAATGAACGTAGGATTGTGATTCAGGGAGCGCAGGACTACTCTATTCCACAGAGCCATCTGGCCGACATGCATATGGAAGTTCATGTACAACAAAAGAGATCGAGGCACTTGAGGAACCTAATTTGAAGGTAAAGGCCGAGCCCCAACGAGCACTTGACGAACTGGCTCAGCAAGAGCTCGAAGCTGGAAGCACTTTGGCTATCGCTGTGCAACGCCACGAAGCCACGGCTGCCCAGGCTGAGCTTCAACCCGAGCTCGATGAGTCCAACAAGAAGAGAGAAGAGGAGGTCAAGAAGCTCAAGGAAGAATAGAGGCCATGGCAGAGTGGAAGTACCACTACAAGAATAACTTCCCTGAAGCCGAGGGTCGTGCCAATGATGAAGAACAAGAATGCAGAGCCGAGGCTGATGCATTTGAGCGTCTGAGGAATGAGTACAACAAGACCGTAAAGAGTTGGAAGACCTGGAGAAGAGTAAATCCAGGATCTCCAGAGGTGAACAAGGGAAACTCACACGATCGCAATGGCCGCAGGTGACAGAGACATCTAAATGGAAAGGGTCATTTGTGCATGATGTTTGCATCGCAAGTGGAGATGACAACACGTTCTTTGTGCCGTATGCACCTTGGAATCGTCATTCAGCCCACACAGTGAAGTTCGACCGCGTCCAACCGATTTCTGTGTACATCTACCTGGCTGCTTATCGATAATGTGAGTGCGGTGGCAGGACTGTCGACCGATGGCCACATAGTGGTGTAGAAGACAATGCCCTTTTCAGCCTTCGATGCCATGTGGTACGAGGACGGGAAGTCACGAGGGTATTCCAGAATGTTGGTTAGGGATGGCATGGGTCAGTACCTGAAGGCTACCAGTCGTTGGGGGTGCGAGTGTGTACTGTAGGCGAGGTGCCACACAACATACAGTACTTGTAGAGCATGCAAAGCTTGCCAACATCAGGTCACCTCAGACTCTGTACATCATGTGCCTGATGCCTTGGCTCAAGACCTATGGCTTGTCCGTAAAATAAAGAAGCTGTCCGTGAGCTGTCAGCCATTCGAATCTGGAAACTCTTTCGTTGTGCGCTGACTTATAGCCGACAACCTTATGGACTTGTCGATTCGCAGGTATGAAATGAGCCCAAGTATCCCTAGATATTTTTGGTGCAAGACGCCTTTGAGATCTTTCGTGGAAGCCCATTGGCTTCGGCCGCACGTCTAACAAAATGCCCATGTGGGTCACAGGTCAAGCATGGAGGGAGGCGCTCTCCCTATTGGTGCCTTGGTAAAGAAAGTGGAAACCAGTGGTCGGACATTGAATGATAACTTACATCATTTGAGTATATAATATGTAAATCTCTATTGAATGTTTTCGTGTCATCAAGCAGGGTGTGCTGGAAAATCGTCAGACTAAATGGGGTTTTCCAGTGCCATGTTTGATTACCACAGGGTATCTATAACATTCTATAGATCTATCCGCCAGTTTTGCCCGAAATTGATCGAGATTGTTGCTGCGGACCAGGACATTGCCTTTTGAAGCTGCAGATGCCAATCTTTGATAGCCCAAGAGCATTCCCTTACAAAGTCTTACCGATTTATCAAGCAACTTTCATTGCAGTTCATCGGTCCAATGTGGTTTGTGATCTCCAACCATTGGTTCAATTTGGCTAGTGACAGTTTGGGCAAGATGGGGTTTCGGTTTCATGATTGCTGGTCTGTTCCAAAAAATGGTGGGCACCAAGGACGTTGGGAGCTGCGATGTCGTTGCCTACAGTGCTGTTTGGGTCCCTCAGCTTGTGGAGCCATAGGCGAATGAGCGTTAAAAAACCCACATTTGTCCAAACCATGTTTCAATGTATTCAATATCTCAGATGGTTTGAAAGACTAGGGGATCCTTCAAACGTCAAACAATTCTGAGTTGATTTACTCATCCAATCAGTCACGTCCTCACAAAACCCAATCAACCAGTCACGTCAATCACACCCTCTTCCCGAGGTCCCTTCCCAATAGCTTCTCTGCTCTCAAAGAATTTTCCTTTCAATCAAGTTGGTTTTACACGCATATATATATATGTATATATTCTTTCTGGGATGGAGCTCTTCGGTCAATTGTTTTGCTCCAGAGCTATTTTAATCATATTTTGAAAGTTAGCACAGCTTGTGCTGGCGAGAGGAAGACTTGATGTTCTGACATATAGGCAGATAGGAACAGTATGTCCAACATTGCAGACCACCCACGCCAAATCCGCCAGACCAATCTATTGGGCAGGGAAAATTAATGGCTTGGCAGTTTCGCATTTGGGTTTATCATCGTTTTCTTTGTTCATCCTGACGTTCTCTATGTTTGAACAGGCCATGAGTGCGTGTGCTCATGCGACGCACTGGCAGGAGGCCACTGACACTACAATGCACAGATGGGCATGTTTCTTCCTTCGCATGGGTTGGTCCGAAAATCGGGTACCCCAAATCCAGATTGTTGCTGCCTTCGACATTACGTCAGTGATCAGATCCTCAGTGATGTGTTGTATTGCCTTGCCAAAGGCCTTGGAACTTCTCAGCCTCATGAAGACAACCCAGGTTCAGTTCGTGCCCTGGAAAGTCACCAATGGCCAATTCATGGACAACCCGGTTGGTTTCACTAAATGTATGCATGCATGCATGGATGTATGTGTGTGTGTGTGCGTAAGTGCGTATGTGTGTGTGTATGTGTGTGTATGTGTGTGTGTATGTGTATGTGTGTGTTATGTATGTGTATGTGTATGTGTATGTGTATGTGTATGTGTATGTGTATGTGTATGTGTATGTGTATGTGTATGTGTATGTGTATGTGTATGTGTATGTGTGTGAATGTATGTGCATGTACGTGTATGCATGTGTGTGTATGTGTATGTATAAGTATGTGCTGTGTATGTATGTGTATGTGTATGTACGTGTGTGTATGTATGTGTATGTATGTGTGTCTATGTGTATGTATTTGTATGTATGTGTATGTATCTGGATGTATGTGTATGTATGTGTATGTATGTGTTGTGTGTGTGTATGTTTAAGTGTATGTGTATGTGTATGTGTGTGTATGTTTATGTGTATGTGTATATGTGTGTGTATGTATGTGCATGTATGTGAATGTATGTGTATGTATGTGTTTGTATGTGTATGTGTATGTGTGTGTATGTTTATGTGTATGTGGATTTGTGTGTGTGTATGTATGTGCATGTATGTGAATGTATGTGTATGTATGTGTTTGTATGTGTATGTATGTGTATGTGTGTGTACGTTTAAGTGTATGTGTGTATGTGTATGTGTGTGTATGTTTATGTGTATGTGTATATGTGTGTGTATGTATGTGCATGTACGTGTATGTATATGTACGTATGCTTATCTATGTGTATGTTTGTGCTTGCATGTGATTATATATACACGTACGCACACATATTTATACACGCCGGCCTAGCTATCTATATATCTAAGTATGTATATGTATTGAATATATTATATGTGTATGCACACACATATATGTCTATCTACCCGCCGGCCATAGAGAGGTGGCTCCCTTGATGTGCACCCTGGTTGGAAGCCGGAGAGAGAAGCAGAAAGGAAGAGAAGAGAAGAGAAGTGAAGAGAAGAGAAGAGGAGAGGAGAGGAGAGGAGAGGAAGGAGAAGAAGAGGAGGAAGAAGAGGAAGAAGAGGAAGAAGAGGAAGAAGAGGAAGAAGAGGAAGAAGAGGAAGAGGAGGAAGAAGAGGAAGAAGAGGAAGAAGAGGAAGAAGAGGAAGAAGAACAAGAGACGAGCAGCAAGTGCGTGTTTGAACAACCTTTGGGCCGCATGCCAAATGAGTACCGGTCGGTCAGTTTAGTACCGTGTGCGTCCTGTGGCTAGTACCGGTAGACGACTGTAGTGCTGTAGACAGTGTCATCAGCTACCGGCACTACCAGTCTAGTACTTGGGGAAGAAGGCAGGAGTATAGGAGTGGGAGTGGGATTAGCAATAGGAGGTTCCAATGTTTTGACCATGGCACACCCTGGCTCCCCCTTGCCAAACACAGGAGGAGGAGGAGTAGGAGGAGGAAGAGTAGCAGTAGGAGTAGTAGTAGTAGTGGCAGTGGTAGTGGTAGTGATAGTGATAGTTATAGTAGTAGTAGCAATAGTAGTAGTGAAAGTAGTAGTGGTAGTTAGTAGTGGTAGAAGTAGTAGCAGTAGTAGTCGTAGAAGTAATAATAGTAGTGGCAGTAGTAGTCGTAGTAGTGATAATAGTAGTAGTGGTAGTAGTGGTAGTAGTGGTAGTAGTGGTAGTAGTGGTAGTAGTGGTAGTAGTGGTAGTAGTAGTGGTAGTAGTGGTGGTGGTAGTAGTAGTAGTAGTAGTAGTAGTAGTAGTAGTAGTCGTGGTAGTGGTAGTGGTAGTAGTAGTGGTAGTGGTAGTGGCAGAGGTAGTGGTAGTGGTAGTGGTAGTGGTGGTAGTGGTAGTAGTCGTGGTAGTGGTAGTCGTGGTAGTCGTGGTAGTTGTGGTAGTCGTGGTAGTCGTGGTAGTCGTGGTAGTCGTGGTAGTCGTGGTAGTCGTGGTAGTAGTGGTAGTAGTGGCAGTAGTGGTAGCAGTGGTGGTGGTGGTGGTGGTAGTAGTGGTAGTAGTAGTAGTAGTGGTGTTAGTGGTGTTAGTGGTGTTAGTGGTGTTAGTGGTGTTAGTGGTAGTAGTGGTAGTAGTGGTAGTAGTGGTAGTAGTGGTAGTAGTGGTAGTAGTGGTAGTAGTGGTGGTGGTGGTAGTAGTAGTAGTAGTAGTGGTAGTTATTGGTCGTCGTGGTCGTCGTGGTTCGTCGTGGTCGTCGTGGTCGCCGTGTTCGTCGTGGTGTCCGTGGCGTCGGGGTCCTCGCTGGTCGTCGTGTCAGTCGTGGTCGTCCGTGGTCAGTCGTGGTCGTCGTGTCGTAGTGGTCGTCGTGGTCGTCGTGGTCGTCGTGGTCGTCGTGGTCGTAGTGGTCGTCGATCGGTCGTCTCTCCGGCTGTGGGTCGTCGTCCGTGGTATGTAGTCGTGGTAAGTGTAGTTGTAGTGTAGTTTAGTGGTATGGCAGAGGTATGTAGTGGTAGTGGTAAAGTGTGGTAGGGGTGGTAGATGGTGGGAGTTGGGTGTAGGTGGTGGTATTGGTGGTAGTGGTGGTAGTGGTAGGTGGTGTGGTGGTGGTGGGGTGTGGTGGTAGTAGTGTAGTGGTAGTGGTAAGTGGTAAAGTGTAGTGGTAGTGGTGTACTGGTAGTGGTAGTGGTAGTGGTGGTGGTGGTGGTGGTGGTAGTGGTGGTGGTAGTAGTAGTAGTAGTAGTAGAAGTAGAAGTAGAAGTAGAAGTAGAAGAAGTAGTAGTAGTAGTAGCAGCAGCAGCAGTAGTAGTAGTACTACTAGTAGTAGTAGTAGTAGTAGTAGTAGTCGGAGTTGGAGTGGGAGTAGGAGTAGCAGTAGGAGTAGGAGTAGCAGTAGCAGCAGTAGTAATAGTAGTAGGAGCAGCAGGACTAGTATTAGTATTAGTACGGTACTAGTACTAGTACTAGACTTAGACGTAGAGACTTTGACTTTTTCCAGGTGGGGGGTGGATGCTTTCAAGATGCGTGGCAAGAGAGCAAAGGAACAAGTACAAACCAAGAAAAGAACAGGAACAACACGTTCCTATCAGATACGCCGGCAGGCCGGCGGATTTACATACATATTCTACATATACATTTACATACATATGCATGTGCATGTACTTTTTCATATGCATAAACATTTACACATGCAAAGACACATACATATACTTAAATAAATAAATAAATAAATAAATATATATTATACACAATTTTCACACATGTATACATATTATGTATATATACGATATATATATATATATATACAGATAAATATTCATATACATGTGTTGATTTGCATACACACACATATATAAACACATTTTGCCCAACCCAATATGTATGAATAGTACTTAAATTATAAATATATGTATATTTATGTGCCAATTAGTACGTATACATCTTTCAAAATGTATTTAATGTGAAAATAAATACATGTATTTGTACATACACATTTTTTCGCAGATATGTTGCATCACGTTTCATTGCATTGCATTTCATTGCGTTGTTGCATTACATTCCATTGCATACCATACATCCATGCGCACATGCGCAAAAATAACACACATATTGCAGAGACAGAGAGAGAGAGAGAGAGAGAGAAATACATAAATCAGTAAATCAGTGAATGAAATGAACGAATGAATGAATAAATGAATGAAAACAGATGCAACGCAACGAAATGAAATGAATGAATGAAATGCGCTGACATGAAATGAAATAAAATGAACGCAATGGAATGGAATGGAGTGGAACAGAACGGAATGGAATGGAATGGAATGGATGGATGAATGAATGAATGAGTGATTGAATGAATGAATGAATCATAAGTAAGCGATAGATTAAATCTATATATATATATATATTTTAAATATATACTGCTCCAAGGCCAGACGTGGTGGCCTTTAGCACAGGGATCTTCGCTTGTGAGCAGGCGGCTTGCTGGCAAGGCAAGGCGAGGAGTCGGATGGCCTTGAAAGATGCCCAATTCATCCCTGATGCTCGATGGTGAAAATCCAACTTAGTCTGTTTAAGGTATTTTAGGATATGTTTTTCAGGTGACGGCAGTTGTTGTTTTCCTAAAGCCTGGTTAGAGGTGCTCTGGAGTTGCTGTGTCCTGATCCTGTGGCCTACACGGCAGGGATCCCCAGCTGGAGGTGAGATTTTGGTGTTGTTCGCATCGAAACATCTTGGTGGATCCCATTCTTAGTCCTAGAAACCGGATGATTAGCATCGTTGGCTTCATTGGTATCATGTGCATCATTGGTATCATGGGCATCATTGGTATCATGGGCATCATTGGTTTCGTTGGTATCATTGGTATCATTGGCATCATCGGTTTGTGGCCTGCTCCATCTCCAAGTCTTGCATTGGTGCTTGTGCGCTGGCGCAAAAGCACCATTCTCAGAGTGATTGCCGGAAAACGTTCGGACACGGGTCAAAAATTATGACCCCGCACAGTTCCCAATCATTCCTAGTGGTTGCATCAAAAAAACCTTCAACTTCAGGGCCTTTGATTTCGATCCATGCCCAAGTCATCCACGGAGTCATCCACAGAGTCGTTTCAATCGATGAGGTGGGAAATGGCGACCCATTTGTGGGAGCTATTGGCGCAGCCTAGTAAACTCGGTAAACTCCTCGGTTGCGAAGGGTTTGCACGGGATCGAGCCAGATAAGCTTCCAAACCTAGCCCTACTCCACTAAAAAATGCTGCAGTCACTTTAGTCGCATCGAAACCCTTTGAACATGACCTCAACACTCAGCACCATGCTGCACCCCCTCCTACTGAAAGGCATTCAACCAACTGCGATGAGCTATGCTGCTGTGGTGGGGTATCTTGGATCGAACTCACGCGGGTTGTGTTGCAAGATGAAGGCTTCAGAAAAGGAGGTTGCCAGAAGTCGTTTGATTTTCGTTGGCGCACACAGCTTCGCTGTGAATCAGCAACGGGAAACCTTGTGGATCAGCCTGCCTGACCGATGAGCAACATCATGACATAGCGTTGGCTCAAATCCGTGCACCCCGAAATTGAATGGTTCATGACATGTCTTGACTAGACTAAAGGTGACCAGAACATTTGTTCTTCACCAGGCATTGAGTATCGACTTCGACCCATTCTCATTTGATCCGCAAGGCCTTTGCACATGGTGCAGCTCGACGCTGGCAACAAGTACTGGAGTTGCAGGTGCCATTAGTTTGATGTGCCTGCATGGAGCCGGATGGATTCGGAGTGGAGTTGGCGGGATTGGTGCCTAAAACCTCTCTTTTCACAAGCAGATGGCTCATCTTTCAATGGTGGGTGCTTGTTCGTGGATGAAAGATGCGATTTTCAGAACGACCGATACAGTCACATGTTGACCAATCAAAGTGCCTGGCAGGTCCAAGTCAGAAAACTGGGTTGGCTGCCAAGTGGCATGTGCCCCAGCTGTGATGTCTTTGACTCTTTCTGGCTGGTGGTTTTCCCTCTTGGTTCCTGAAAGACATGGCAAGGTCTAGATGCTTGTGAAACAGTAATCACTGATTGCGCCTTTACTCATGATACAACCTAAATATGAGAGTGGGGCCATCTTCCACTGGAACGAAGGTACTCAGCCATCACCAGGGGTCTTGGCGGTGCATTGCAGTGGGAGAAGGCAAGGGCCTAGGGAGGCTGCTCGACTGATTATAGACTAGAGATTATGGTTTCACAACCCACACCCAGACCGACACCCACACCAACCCACCCACCTGCCTGCCCACCCGCCAGCCTGCCTGTGCGCAGGCGCACAGGCGCACAGGCGCACAGGCACACAGGCACAGGCGCACAGGAGCAAGGCGCAGACGCTCAGACGCGCAAACGCGTTTGGCAGGCGGGCAGGCGGGCACGCGGGCACGCGGGTACGCAGGCACATGCACACATGCGCATGTGCTGCTCTCAAATTTTCCATGGTCTTTCTAGCGCTTGCTTGTTGTTGTCTCTTCTTGCTTTACGATTGACAGTCTGAGTCTGACCAGGTGATTTTGCAATGAACGCCCTTCCCCCCTTGTCTCTCAGTCCCATTTCCCTTGCTGGTCCTTCCCCTTCCATGCTGGATTTTTCTGTTTGGCTCTTGCCGTTTGCCAGCGTTGCTCCAAGACTTGACATTGGGAAGATGGCTCTTATTTCTTTCTTATGGCGTGACCGTATGAATATCATGTCTGTCATGTCCAGCTGTTACTAGCTTTGGTTGGCCCCCAACCAAATTTTTCATCCGCTTGGAGATGATGATCGCATTTTGATTGATATCTTTGGGATGGGTTGAAACCGGCAAGAACAAAAAGAGCTCAGGTTTTGGTCGGCTTTCACCATGACGGAATGGAGAGGGCGAAGGATGTATTCTTCCATATCCATCCATTTCCATGGTCAAAGGATCACTTAGGACGACTTTTTCACTCACTTAGGACGACATTTTGAGATGGGAACTTCAACCTTCAGGATTAACTCCATTGGATACAGACCTTTAGGGTTAATTTTTTTAGGGGGGGACAGGGGACCGGGGACAGGGGACCAGGGACCGGGGACAGTGGGAGCAAGTAGAGGTAAGAGACACGGCACCGAATACATTCGACTCCATTGGATACAGACCTTTAGGGTTACATTTTTTTAGGGGGGAAAGGGGACCGGGGACAGGGGACCAGGGACCGGGGACAGCAGGAACAAGTAGAGGTAAGAGACACGGCACCGAACACCCTGGAATCCATTGGATACAGACCTTTAGGGTTACTTTTTTTAGGGGACCGGGGACCAGGAAAAGGATACAACATTTTATAATCTTCTCCTGTCAACACTCTGGGGTCAGGGGGGCCAAGACTTAGATGCATTGGAGAAAGAATAAGCAGGACCTTTGCCAATAAACTTGGAGACGAACCTCGGATAGGCCTGCCTGCGCAGGGATTACCAAAAGATGTTACGACACACACACACACATGCACCGTGCAGCAGCAACCTGATGATCATCTCTAATACACATGTACAAGCCTCTTGAAATCATGTTCAAATACATCGATATATCTTTCTATTGAGACTGTAGCCATATATAGCCATACATCACCGACGTAGTCCTAAGCGAGTAAAAACGTAGGCCTAAGCGAGGCACTGACCCATTTCCATCCATTCCCCTTTGTACCAATGTACACTACGGAGCCCCAAGCAGCGCTTGTGTAACTACGCCGTACTGTAAGTGGGGTTACATGCCACTTACATTCATGTAGTTTAACCTGTCAACGAAAATCCTCATGTATCTCCATTCATGGAGGATTTTCCTATGCAAAATCGGGATTTCTCAGTTACAAGTTGCAGGACATGACCCCACAAGGGCCCCAGTTCTGCCGAATCCTTTCTAGGCCTTGGCCTTGCTCCCCGAGATGCAGGCTTTAGGACCTGCACCTGATGAGATAGGCCTGGAACCTCTGTGGGGAGACAATTTGAAAGTTGGGATCCAAACGTTGAAACAGCTCCAAAACCATGCTAAAACCCAGTTCCCTTCCCATTCCTAAAACTTGGCGAGCATCAACTTTGCAGAGTTTTTTTTGCCAATCTTGGACTGGACGTGCCTCACCAGTGAATATTTGAAAATCCAAGTGAATCTGATGTGGGGATCCACATTTTGGGGCACATCCATTTGCCAGCTATTTGGCTATTTGGTTGTTCACCAAATTACCAGGCTTTTGATCCAAGCAATCCAATGTATAGCCCCGCACCCGGTGCCAAGTTTGCGGTGGACTGATTGCAGAGTGCGCAAGAAGCTGGCAGCACCTTGGACTACTTTAGATGGTTTTGTAGGACAACTCCCGAAATCTGACAGTGATCAACCATTTTCCCCGGCAACATATTGCCATTTTGGAGGGATTTCGTGGTAATCCTATATTTTTGGACAGACCCATACGATCTATATAGTGTACATATATATATATAATTGGACAATGTTTTGTGTTGATGAACCAACCACACATTCCGAGGCAGCAAGTTGCGAGAACCCAAAAATATGCAAGCATCAGGAATTGCTTGAAAACAGAGCGCTTTGGTACCTCCAGCGTCTAAAGGCTGTTGGGATTCAAATCTGAGGTGGAGCCAATCCCTTTCGCTGTTGGTAAAGCGCTGAGCTGGCCAAGCTGTCGAGCTGACGGTTGACCTTTTTGCTGCCTAGCCTTGATCCGTTATTCCGGGTGTTGAAACATGGGGATGGGTCAAAACCTATGAATTTACCATACTGGGGGAACAAACATCCATTAACCAGCTTTTTTTAGGGTAACGTAGGGTACCAGGCTTTTGGCTCATGACCACATGTTGAAACTGCTGAGCAATGATAACGCGAAGTTTGGTACTGAGGATGCCATGAGCAAGAGCTTGGTTACGGCTGATGCAGTTACGAATTCCTTGCTGCTAGGCTGGTGGTGTTTTCTTGAGTCCGGCCTTGCAGCTCCTTGCCGTTTTCTGTGGCCAGCAGGATTTTCAATTGCTTTGACCAGTTGTTGGAGTAGCTTGACTTTTCTCTAGTTGACTCTGCAGGTGTTTGCAGTCGAGCACAGTTGGGATCTCAAACTGTGAGGTTGGTTCTGGTGTGCACGAAATTTAGTGTTCTCTAATTGAGATGCTTCTGCTTTGGATACGCACTGATGTATACCGTGAATTTGAATTCACCTTGCAAGACTGTGATTCTTGTTGTGCTCAGGCACTTCGCGAAAGCTGTGCCCGTTCTTTGCAAGAACGGTGTAAACCTTAGGGGTGTTTGAAGCAAGAGAGCCACGGTAAGACGGTAAGTGACGGTTTTATACGGCTTCCACAAGCTTGAACAGGCAGATATGACGTGGGCAGGTGGCGGAATTTTGATCCTTGAAACCCCACCATCACTTTTCTACTGGGGGCAACCCTCACAGTTAAGGCCTCATTTCAAGATACACCAGGATACAGCGCTACTGTTGCCATTTTGTTCCTAGTATTTCCTGGTGGTGTGTAGCATCCGCCCGCTCTGATCAAACCGACTGTATTTCTCACCGCCAATATAGCTTGATGCCTAAATCACAATCTTTTTTTGGTCGAATCCGTATTTTACCTAGAGGGACAGGCGTTAAATCACTGTTTCCCCTACAGAATCAAAGACTATTCCAAATTGTTTGGATTTCATGCTTCACCAGGGCATTTGCGCCTTGCTGGTGCGGCTGCTGTGGCGGCACATGCTGTGGCGCAGCGGGTTGGGAGCTGAGCACAGATTATTTCCGATCTGTTGAGGTCCTGAAAAAAAGTAAACACATCCCGTGGCAACGGTTCAAAAAATCAACATTTTGACAGAACAAATGCAAGTGCATGGTGCAAATTGGTGCAATCCTATTTTTGTTTCTAGTCTCTTTCGAAATTACGCGAAGCCCTGTTTATTGGGTTAGAGCTGATGCACCAAAACACCTTTTTATCAGCAGATAGTGAAGCTGTCAAAGGCCAATGCTGCCGGCTGGAGGATGCTCAGCCGCATTCTCAGTGGAGGCGGACATGGGTCGAGTTATTCGGGTACAATGGACCAACAAATGGGTGGTCATTTTCAGTATATACTAAACATTGTCAAACCAAATCAGTAAATAAGCACATATATATATATATTTAAATATAGATACATATAGATAAATATATATATATATGTGTATTCTATTCGACGGAAGTTTAGAAGTCAAACTTCCGACAACATGGACAGATGGAAAAGCAGAGGTGGGAAGAGTGAGAGAAGAGAAGAGAAGAAGAAAGAAGATCAGAGAAGAGAAAGAGTCAGAGGAAAGAAGATGCAGGTGCGCGAATAGGTAGAAAAGTCGCGACTCACTCTGTTTTTCTAATGATTTGTGGCTCCGGAGGGTCGAAAAGTAGGCTCGCTAGCTACGCGGTGGGTGAGCGGTGGGTGCGGAGCCATCTGGCCAGATGAGAGATAAACAATTGCACGCGGTTGTGGCGCGAAGCACATGTCGAAGTCAAAATGTGCCAAGCACCTCATGTTCGGACCACTTTTGGAAGTTGAGATGTCGAAAAAGTGCGTGCCGTTGTGGCGCGAAGCACATTTCGAAGTCAAAAGTGTAAAAAACTGATGGGTTCGGAGCACTTTTGGACGTTCAGATGTCGTTTTGCGTGGCAGGCGCAAGGGATTCTGCACCTTGTGAACAGTGAGGAGAACGTGGAAGTTTTCTAGTAGTTTCAACAGCGTTGGCCGGCGTGGGACATTTTGAAGAGGATCCACAAAGATGCATTTCGCGTGGCAGGCGCAGTACAAGAGACATGTTCATCAGAGGTTAGGAGGTCAGGGCGCTGATTTCCTGAGAGGGGTTGCATTTTGGAGCATCAGATCTTCAGGTTTGCTAAGATGATTTTGCGTGACAGGTGCAGCATTTCGTATGACCTGGCATCACTTTTCGCGGCAGGCGCAGCATTTTCGACAGATGGAATGGAAAAATTGCAAAACGCAGTGGTACGAGGCCGTCAGCTCTGCACCCAATGGTCTATTTTTGAAGGAAGTCTCGCAGAATTGCTTCGTTTTCAAGCTTGCAGATAGCAGATACTTAGGTAGGTAGATAGATAGATAGATAGACAGATAGATAGATAGACAGACAGATAGATAGATAGATAGATAGACAACTACATCTACAACCACAGCTACAACCACGACTACAACTACCACTACACTACACTACTACGACAACTACAAATACAAATATACTATGCTACATTACACTACACTAATTACATTGCACAACACTAATTACATCTAATTACGCTACACTACACTAATTGCACAACAACAACAACAACAACAACAACAACAACCACAGCTACAACTACAACTACAATTACAACTACACTACATTACGCTACACTACACTGAGTACACTGCAGTACGCTACAGCTACAAATACAAATACAAC